GACTTCCTCGTCTGTTCAAGATCAAACTGCATCGTCCTCATTGCTCTCGATCAAGCCAAACCAGAACATGATCATTCAACTCAACCCTTTTCTATATGATTCATACATGTTACAAGTGGTTGAATGCTTGAAGTATTCTCCTCTAGTTCTCTCCCTAACACAGGTGGAATCCGTCCCAATGTCACTCCTATCGCAGGTCTACACTACTGCTTCATATGACAAGAACAAGGAGAGGATCTACTTCCAAATCTTCTCTCACAAGGCTTCGATTTCAAAAGGGAGATTTTGTTCACTGTTACGGCTTGCTGTGGATTCGTCTGTGATCTCACCTGACTTCATCACCACTACTCAACTATTCTCGATGCTCTACGAGATGGGCTACACTGATGTTCTTACCACTGTCGCGAAGGTTAAGAAATCGTGTTTGCCGCCCCAATGGAATGGATTGCTTACTCTTCTCATCAAGGGTTTGGCGGAGAGGAGTGCTGGGTCTGATGGTACAAGCAAGGGTTTTCTGACCATTCTATATGGTCTTTACAATGGGATAAATCTCGACTATGGTCGATTATCTGGTCACAGGTGGTGCAAAGTCTCAATACTTCAACGAGACACTCTGAAATTTCTTGTGGTCGCTTTTAGACTCTCATCACACGCAGGGCAATTGACACTTTGCAAATTCCAGTAATGAATGATGCCCTGGTCTCGTCGGTAGCTACTTTTCACACGAAGGAGATCATCTTCTCCGATGCCTCGAAATTCTCTCACATTGGTTCTATTCCTGAGACGATGTACCGATGTGTATCAGCTGAAAGTAATGTGATGGCTGATTACCGAAAGCTTCCTCCCAATGAACCGCGGGTACTGACTCCTGAACAGTAAGTCGCTTTGGATGCTGTGGAGAAACCTGCAAACCGAGGCAAAAGGGCTTATTCCAAGAAAGAAACAACCGAGGGTGATTCATCTAAACCTGCCAAGTCTAGGAAGCGAAAGTCTGCAAAGGGTGATTCCTCTAAGCCAAAGAAGATTAAGAAGATGGCGAAGAAGTCAAAGACTCCTTCCCCTTCAAGCTCAGAAAACGATGAGGAGGATGAAGAAGAGGAAATTCAGCATCATGAATCACCGAGAGGTAACACACCTCCTCGATCACCAACTCCAACCGAACCTCTTAATGATACAATTCCATCACCTCCTCCATCTCCACTGAAAACAACTGTTCCAATTTCGGTTGCTCCTACTCCACCCCCTACCACATCTCAAACAACCACTTTTATTCCACCACCACCACCTGTTAGTACAATCCCAATTTCCACAACTCCTTTACCACCTCCTATTATTTCCCAAGCAACTACCACCACTACAACCCAACCGACAGTAAACGTCAACGTATCTGATACGGGGGCGAATACTGAAAGCGAACCTCCTGTTACTTCTAAACCTCTTTCACCCTCACCTTCAACCGATTACGGTGCCACTCTCGGTGGTGATAATGTTGAGTTTGACTCGACTTACTACAGTCCCTATCGGCTTCCTACCGACGATGATGAAGAGGCTCCTGTCACTCGCCAACAACTACAGAGTATTGATGATAAGCTCGATAAATTGCTTACTGCCAACAAGTCCTACAATGATGTTGTCCTCAAAGCTTTTATGGATACCGCTTTTGAGCAATATACTGGGGCTATTGACAAATCTACGAAGGCTGTTGAGGGTTCCACTTCTTCTTGCAAGAAAGCCACTACTGAGGTTACAGAACTTGTTCATAGTACTCAGATATTTCTTGAATCACTCAAAGGCCATGCTGATACAAATGCAGCCAAAGTGAACGCTACAGTGGATTCCTTATCCAAAACACTTCAAGAGGAGCAAACTAAGTTTGAAGCTGTTCGTTCGTCTATTCAAGCTGAGAATACTTCTCTGCTTAGTTCAGTGACTTCTCATCTTTCAACACTCCACGCTGATTTAGCAAAGGAGAGTGCCTTAAAGGAAGATCTTGCACGTCAAGCCTCGACTATAAAAGTTCAGAAGGTGCAGTTAGCTCAAGCTGAAAAAGAAATCTCATTGTTGAAGACTGAGCGAGTTGTATTTAGAAGTTGTGTTGGGGATGTCAAAAATATGCTTACCAATCTTCTTGGTGCTCATGATCCTATCCTAACTCTGACCATCAGGAATCATTTAACTTCAAAGCTTCTTCCTGCCCTTGCTCTCTTGCATGAAATGAAAGGTGTTTCGGAGAGGTTCGTACCTCCAAAACAAGGGGGAGAAGGTGCTACTCAACCGAAGGTCAAAGTTAATACTGAACCGAAGGGTAATGAAGCTTCGGGTTCCGGGAACAAAGATAAGAAGAAGGGAATTGATGACGACAGTGATGAAGAAGAAGAGACAATTGTTGAGGCTCTAAAAAGAAAGAAAAGGGACAGAGAATTAGATGAAACCCTTCAGGTTGCGAAGGAGGCTGAAGAAAGGGAAAGAAGGAACAAGGAAGAACAAGATGCTATAAACTGCAAAAAGGCCTTATTTCCTCTCTGGACAAGAGAAACACTCATCAAGGAGGCAATAGAGTTTCCAAGCGTCTACTGGCTGGAACCTGTCGCTTCTTTTGATTGTGAAAATTCAAAAGACTCACAGTTCGATATGCCTATAACACGAAAGGCATTTACATTTCATTGTTTTGATTCGACTGTTGAAGTTCCTTTCCCTCATCCGAAAGTTGATCGCGAACTAATTGATTTTTATTTGAAGTTCGGTCAGCCTCAGTACTTGACATGGAGTGCACAGAAGATTGTTACTGTCAAGGTACTAAAACCTTCGCCTGCCGGGAAATTCATAAATGTTAGTTTCAAAATCACCCGAGGACCAGCAAACTCGGTTTCGGTTATTTCCCTGGCAGATCTTCCAAATTTGAATCCTCATGATTGGATCCTGTTGTTTAACATTCTGCTCACCAATCCAAAAGAATATGAGCCGATCCTGGATCATTTGAAGAGGATGTTGGCTTCTTACATCCATGAGGTTGCTGTTATGGATCAGGAGATAGCAAAAGTGATGAATAAGAAACCGACTGTAAAGCCAACAGCGAAACCAGGAGATGTGAATAAAATGAGGATGGGCCAAATTGACTCTACACATCTAACTGTAATGTTCACAAGAGGCGAAGCCAATCGTTTTCTGTTCGCTCTTGTTGACAAACATTTGTTCTCAACAGACTACTTAGAGCACATTATCAGTATCATTCATCGGTGCAAGCAGAATTCTGATGCAGACAAGAAGAACTTCACGGACATGCTTCGGTGGTACATCATGTTTCGTCATACTCTTTTGGCCATCATACCGAAGGTGTTCAAGACAGTCAAGAAGTCTTCTGCAGCTCAACCGAAGTGAGCTTTCGGCTCCATTGACGCAAAGGGGGAGATTGTTGGGTATTATTGTGTTGCGTCATAGGATTATTTGTATATCCGGATTGGGCTTGTCCATCCGTGATTATCTAGTAGGGTTAAACTATAAATAGTACATGCATGTATGCATTAGACAGGTTCTTGATTATCATTATTATTGTTTTGTAACCCTAAACACCTCTACAGTCGAAGTTCTTAATCGAGCTCTTCTGAGGTGTTAAAGTTTAATCATACGACATCTTTAAAGCTATTCCTGTGTTCTTAATTACATCTTTTATTATTTATTTGCTTAGAATCTATCGATCCTAATAGAACGTTGTTCTAACACTATTCTTTTATTAAGAATGATATATATATATATATATATATATATATATATATATATATATATATATATATATAACCTAATTATTTTTTCAAGATGAACATGTGCATATTCATATATCGCCAAATGTATATTTTTCAAGGGAGATTTTTCGTATATACATTTATTAAATATCAAAATGTCATATTTGCCTAACTTAATTTCTAAATATCATATTTACCCTTTATAAAATTTTAAAATATTGTATATGCCATTCTTAAATATCAAAATATCATATATTCCCTTCTTAAAATCAAAATATAGTATATGTCTTTCTTAAACATCAAAATATCAATGATAATATCAAAAATATCTTCCATCTACAATATGACAATATTCAACAACAACAAAAGTTAAGCAATTAATTCATACATTCAAGTAAGCGGGTTGAAGATGGAGAGTTTGTTTGTCAAAAGAGCGACATTCCAACAATTTAAAAATAGACATTCCATTATTAGATGTAGGGATAATATGATTAAATTTTTTAATTATTAGTAATTCTAAGATATAAATAATGATTATAAATTATTAAAAACATTGTAAAAAAATGGACAAATATAATATTTTGAAATTTTAAAAAGATTAAATATGATATTAAAAAATTAAATTGGACAAATATGATATTTTGATGTTTAAAAATGACATATATGAAATTATTTCATTTTCTAATTAAAACACCATCAAATGTGTACATATGCACCGTTTTAGGGAGAATCACATGTAAATAATAAAAATAAAAATAAAAATATATTTTTTTTTGATGTACATGTCTACAATATATTTTTTGAGAAATCAAATATCCTTTTATTTTTTTCTCCTACCATATCTCTATACATTTAAAATTGTGACATTTGTCATATTTAATAAAATTAATAAATTTTTAATACATTTGTTATAATCTAAAAGTGATAGGATGATGGATAGTTGAGAATAAATAGAAGGATATATAATTTTTCATATTTTTTTTCATTAATGCTTTTGTTTGAAAAGTTCTATTACACACTATGCATGTTGTTTGGTGTTGTTTTTTGAAAAACATAACATCATAATTTTTTTTCAAGTTTTTGAAGTTTTTAAATTCTCATTACATTTTAACCTTGTAAAATGGTGTTCTATATATTCGAAGTTATGTGAAAGTATTCGAAGTTATGTGAAAGATGGTGTTGTATGTATGGTGTCAAAAGCGATGCAAAGAGAAAATCCTCCATAAAGAGAGGGAGATAAAGCCCATAAACAGCAGAAGAAGATAGAAAGATGCTTAACTTATGCCACAGCATTTACAAATCATAAAAGAGGTATGCTATGCCCACATGCATACCCCCATCATAAACACTTTTGACATTATTGATGGGGTCTTGAATGACTACATATACCCTACGTTCCCCCTTCCCCAAGGAAGGTAAGAAAAAATACATATACAAACTTATATCACTCAATAGAATGGCATTGAAGTGGTCACTAATTAAAGCCATTCCCACATGCTCTAGATTCCATTCTCTGCTCACTCTTCACATGCTCATAATCTTTACAGCTAACAAAACCAAACGTATGGTACATGCAAACCTCACTCAAATTAAACTAAAAAGAAACTAAATGGAAGTACGTGTTGTTAGATATCTATCATATCATATAGTTTCTGCAGATATAAATTAAGACTAATTAAATTAGTTGATGACTAGAGATTAATGGTGGATGTAGTATTTGGAAGGTGGGACACCAAGGCGTCGACACACTGGAGATGGCGTGGGCAACTGGTGATGTGATCGTTGGTGAGGCCCGCTGCTTGCATAAAAGAATGGATAATAGTGGGACCCACCTGCCGGAATCCCCTTCTCACCATATCTCGGCTTATCACTTCCGATTTAGATGTCTTAACTGGCATCTTGTGATTCACCTTGTACTGAGTTGCAATAGTCTTGTGATTCACAAATCCCCATATATACTTGTTGAATGACCCGAATGCTTTCTTAATCTGTTCAACAATAGAATCATATTAACATTTGCATAGTACAAACTTCTTTTTGTTCTTTTGATAGTTTATGCAAACGCAAACCGAATGAGTAAAAACAAATCGTACCTCAAGAATACAGTTAGAGTTTTGGACAACTGCTCTTATAAAGCCAACTTCAATCCCATAGTGACTACTCGTTGATGTTATTGTTTTTTCGGTAAACATGGATATAATCTCTGCTTCAAAACCAGAGAATGCCTCCCTATCAATTTCAATCAAAACTGTTAATTACCATAACGAAAATCATTATATCAGAATTTGAAATGTCTCGTATGGAAACCCACCTAAACTGTTGTCTTTTCCTTAACACCGAAGTCCAATCCGATCCAACTTGAGCACTTGTCAGCACCAATAATTCAAAGAGCAACCTGAGAAACAATTACCATATTCATTTGTAAATTCCACCACACACACACACACACACACAGAAAAGGAAGCTTACTTATCATCATGAACGGGAACTCCCCATTCTTCATCATGGTATGCAACGAATATCGGGTCTGAAAATATTAAAATATGAAAAAAGTTGAAATAGCTCAGTTAATATATTGAACATTGAGTTCTTAATTAGGAAGTGAGCATTTTTTTTCATATATAAAGTAAGAGATGTGATTAGTTAAACCTGAATTAGGAGTGATGAAGCTACATCTTTTCTCTTCCCTAACATTGAAAGTAGTCGTATCAGAAAATGATGTGAGCTTACTGCAGCCATCATAATTGTTAGTCTTTGATCTACCATAGTGAGCAATCTTCATTTTCCTCTGAACCTGCATCGCTGCCACCTGTTCCCTCCTTGCAGCCGCTATACTCCCCGGAGAATCCACAATCGCCGCTGATGAGTACTCCACCGCCAACGAATTAGGATTAGTACTGCTGGTTCGACCACTCGAAACAACAGTTTTCTTTGGCTTCTTTACGGGAATAATAGTTTTTTGGGTTGTGCATTTGGTGGGTGGAGACGAAAGAATCCTTTCAGTGGTGTTGGTTTTTGCAGTTGGAATGGTAGTGCGAAGTGGTGGTTGGGAAACTTGAACTACTGAAGACGATTTAGGGAGGGGGAGACTTTTTTTAAGAGAACTTCTTGTTAGAACTCGGTTAGAGGTAGCTGGTTGAAGCACCGGCCGACCATTGATGTCTGAAACCATGTTGGCTGCCGGAGTAGCATCATGATTTGTTTGAGTTGTTTGAACCATTTTTGATTTTGAAGAACACATAATTGAAGAATGATGAAATCGTTTGCTGGAGAGGAGTAGTAGTGTGTTAGATAAGCAGGTTTTTAAGCAAGCAAGCTAAGGAAAGACATGTGAAAGGAAGAATGGGTCTTATATCTGTTACCCTATATCGTGGAGTGGGTGTGGGGACATACGAAATAATGGCAAACAATTGGTAACATGGGGGTATTAGATTTGGGTCTGCCATACAAAGTACAAACGCGCTTGTGAAGCTAACTTATCTTGTTTTCTTTAACATGGACATATGAGAATGATAGCCCTGACACAATCCCCACGACACCTTTTTTTTTCTTTTTCTTTTTCTTTTTAAAAAAAAAATCTTTCTTCACGAAAGAATCCACAAGGTAATATGGTATGCAATAATCGATCAAGAAGTAGAATATAGTATTAGGGTGGACCAAAATAAACCATGCTATTCTGTTTTTTTTTAACGGCTAGACTTCAATTAAAATAACAAGAAGTTGGAATTACATGGTACAATACAATGGTACAATACAATGGGTTTTCAACCAGGGACTTCAACCAGGGACGACGAAGCTTATGTAGGGCCAGGAGGGGCTGTGGCCCCCCTGTTTTTTTTTCATAACTAACCCTTAACTATTAAAATTTTTACATATTAAGCCTAAAACTAGAAATTTTGACTTTGGCCCCCCTATTCCTCAATTTTTATACATATTTTATTTTCGGCCCCTCCAAATCAACACTTCAAGCTCCGTCACTGTTTTCAACCCAAGAGTTCCAAATCAAATTACTATCCCATTTCGCTCTACTCTTAATCCATAAAAATGTCAAAGCTTTGACATCATAGGCTAAAGCTAACGGATTCTTGACCTTAGTATTGGAGATGAAGATCACGTCGTTCCTATATTTCCATATAGTCCATAAGAATGTTCTAGATGTCGCTTCTAAGGTGTCTAAAGATCTACTTCCCTCTTTAGAAGTAGATTTTACCCCCAACATGTCTTCTAAAGAGTCTGAGTCCAATGAGGCAGGAAAATCATTCCATCAAGTTTGTATATGCCCTTGAATCTCTAGAGTCTTGGAACAGTTCTTGAATATGTGTACCTCGTTCTCTTCGAAAACATTGCATAAAGGACATAAGGTGTTAGGAATGTTTACTCCTCTCCGTGCAAGGTTTAATCTGGTGGACAATCTGCCAAGTCTCACCCACCATATGAAAATATTTATTTTCCCTGGAACCACCTTGGACCAAATGGTTGGCAAGTTTGTACTCTTCAGTAGTTGAATGTCGATTTCCTTTCTCAGAGTAGACACTGTATACTCCCCTCCTCCATGCTAATATGTTATAAAGAGCATTTCAGAATACCGAAATTAAGTGTTAATTGGTTTTTTCTTTTTCAATCTTTCAAATAATATAATAATAAATTACTTTTATCTATATAGTATTATATTTAGGAATACAAATCTCTTTTTTTGAAAGAGAAATACAAATCTTTGTAATAGAATTAAATGAATTAAATTATTATTTTTAAATTTTGTAAAAATAAATAAAAATATTGTTTATTATTATTTTATCTTATGATTTCATTGTACTTTTTATTTAGTAAATAATTATTTAGATGATATATAATTCTTTTTAACGATTTGAAATACATTTAATCACTATTTTAAACAAAATGAAATACGATTTTATGCAATTAATTTAACGATATAATTTTATTTAATTAACAATTTTCAATTTTTTAAAATATACTATATTTTTTTACTTAATCTATCAAGTTAATTTTAATGTAGTTTCTATTTAGACAAAACTAGGGATGATCACCGATAGCGGGTACTTGTTTTTGGAACTGAAACAACCTCAGAACCGTTGATTCTGGAACCGGAACCGATGCCACTGGTTTCGGTTCCGGTTCCTAAAAGTGGGCACCGCCAAGGACCGGTTCCGGCTTTGGTTTTTATTTTTTAGGAACTGTTACCCATTGGGTAACCGCTAGAACTGGTTCTAAAATATTAAAATTTAAAAATACTTAATACTTAAACGAATTGGTCGTAACAGCGTTGATGACTAAGACATTTGTTGGGAGTGTCTAATTGGATCTTGGAATTAACATGTTAATAAGTCATATTTGCAACATTTTTTTCAAACAATGTGAATGTGAATGCATGACTATAAAACAATTTGCACATACGTGATGGTAATATCTTTTGAATAGATCTGATGTTAAATAACATTAATAGTTTGATAGTAAAAACATGAATTTAAATTTATGACTTATATTTAGCAACTTAGATTATCTTTTAAAACGATATTTTTTTTGGCGTTTGTAACTTGTATCATAATGAACTAGTTATAATATTTACTTTCAAGAAAATAAAGTCATTATCGGTGACGTTATTAGGGGCGACACGGAGCTTTAGCGGCGATTCAAGCTTGTGTCGCCGCAAATAGCGTCGCCGGTAATACTCTATGAACCGAATCCACAGTTACACGTTCTGGTAAATCCCCACGGTCCGATCAACGTTCTAATCCAATGGTTGGGGGCCCTTCTCACACAATCTCAATACCGGCAACATTTTCTCACCGCTAAAGGTCGTGAAAAAAAAGAAGCGGGATACGTTCCCTCCTTTGTTGTCGTCGCTATTGCTTATTGTCGCCGGTAATAACGTCGTGTCGCCGTTGTTGACTATCGTCGATAAAGGTCGACGAAATAAGACCCCTTCCTATCTCACTTTCTTTCCTTCCTACTTGTTGTTGTTAATTCCTAATTCGCTTCTTCCTTGTCTCACTTCAACGTCCCGCAATCGATGTATAGTACATCGGCGATCGTCTTCCTCCGCCTTCAACCACCGGCCAACCACCACAACTATTGTTTGCCAACTAATTTCGGTGACGAGTCGGCTCTACCATCAATTTTACAGCTTCACCGACGGCAATGAGCATCCCTTTCATTATTTCTCTATTTTTTTCTCTTATAACTTCAATTTTCAGCTTATATTCGAGATTAATGTAACATCCGGATTTTCAGGGACATTATTGTGTATGTTAATCTTGAGATTTAAGGAGGGACTCGTGACGAGTTGAGGGACCAACTCGCCGAGTCGAGTCGAGATTGCCGCGTGGATTTAATGAATGGACTCGACGAGTCAGATGAGGGACTCGTCGAGTAGGTGCTGGGCAGAGAAACCCTAATTTCCCGGGTTTGGGACCTATTTAAAGGCATTTATAGCCTCAATTGCGGCTACCTTCCCCTGAGAGCAAACCCTATTTGCTATTGTAGCTAGAGAGTGAGAGAGAAGCTCATATTGTGGTTCTTGGTGCATTTCTATGGAGAAGGATGAAGAGCTTCTTGATGGGGAACAAAGGAAGGCAGTGGATCTGTGGTATTGAGTGTTTCAGCTGCTAAGAGAAGGTACAAAGTTCTCATCTTTTTCATTCCTTGTACTAGATCTCATTTTGGGAGTTTTAGGGCTTTGCTTCCATTCTTTTGAATCTATGAGTCGAATGAGACCTGGTTGTGGTTGGAAACCTCAGATCTGGACCTCCTAAGGTCCTTAGAGTCTAGATGTCTCAGCTTTAGTGGTCCAAATGAGGGTTGATGAGCAAAAACCTTCATGAAGAGCATGTATTGGCGTTTTGAAGCAATAGCATCATGTATGAACGTAAAGATCGAAGCTTTACGTAATTATTGAGCCTTGGGATGATAGATCTATAGTTTAGAGTGATAGATCTGGTTGAAATCGTCTGAATGAGAAATCAGATCAAAGGGACTCGCCAAGTCCATGACCTGACTCGACGAGTCGGCAAGGGTTTGTCCCGATGGATTGATTGTGCGATAACTCGGCGAGTTGGGGGTCAACTCGACGAGTTGAGCTGGACTTTTGAGACTTCTGAGGATACAAGGGGACTCGACGAGTCGCAGGAGTGCACTCGACGAGTCGGGTCAAACTTGGACTGTTGACTCGAGTTTGACTTCTGTTGACCATGGGGTTTTGGTCAACATATGTGATGGAGACCTTGGAGGGGGTAAAATGGTCTTTTACCCACTTTAATGAGTTAGAAAGAGAAATACCCGCCTTCGATTATCTGAGTTGTGAGAAGTGTAATAATAAGAGATATTCATCCTTTGTGTTAGGAGGAGACTAGTTCGAGATCCGAGCGCGAGGTTATTTGCTCACCTGCTAGCCGAGGTGAGTCTTCTCACTATACATTACCTAGAGTGGTATCTATGTGTAGACCGAAGGGTCTTGTGTGTTATGTGTATGTATGAGATTATGTGCATTGTGATATATGTATGCAATGTGTTGTATAGACCGGACCGGAAGGTCCAACGATATAGACCGGACCGAAGGGTCCAACAATACAGACCAGACCGAAGGGTCCAACGAGCTATGACCGGAACAGAGGGTCCAACGAGCTACGGGACTGGAGGGTCCCGCTGAGACACATCGACCGGAGGGTCGTACTGTAGCCTCGAGTGGCGTATGTGTTGTATGTGGTATTTTGGGGAACTCACTAAGCATTTATGCTTACAGTGTTATGTGATATGTGTTTCAGGTATCAGCGAGGGTCGCGGGAAGGCGCCGACATGAATTGTACACACTGGCAGAAGATTCTGTGTTGAGATTCTGGGATATGTTTTATTGTGATGACATTGATACAGGAGATTTTGAGAATATTATATGAGATTTATTATATTTGAAAAATGAAAAATTGTTTTAAAATTTACATCGTTACAATTAATTTCTGAAAAATGATGATTTTCAGTTTTTGGAGCTTTTGACTGTGTCACCGGCGACTCAAGCTTGATTTTCCGGTCACCATTGTTGATTTCTGGCCACCATAGGTACCTTTCTCCTTTAGTTTCTAGATTATTTGCAAAAAGTTGTGTATTTATGCCTATTATGTGAAATTACCCATATTTGTGTATATTTGGTACTTATTTGTATGAAATGTAGATTGTATGTATGTATGAAATGTGTATTTGTATGCATGTATAAAATGTGTATTTGTATGTATGTAAGAAATGTGGATTATATGTATATGTGTGTATAATGTGTACTGTATGTATAAAATGTGGATTGTATGTAATGTGTATATTGCAATGATATAATGGAAAAAGAACAAATAAAATAAGATGTTATTATTGATAATGGTATTTCAAGTATAT